AAAGCTAGTATAATTTAATAGTTTAGGGTTTAGTATATAAGGTTTAAGGTGTATAATTTTGGGTATAAGGATTGAATATTATTGTTAACAATACCTGTAAGAGGTGAGCATGGTGGGGAGAGCAAACTTGAAGAAGACTCGTACAACAAAATAGACAATTGATAGGATTGTGGTAAGTAGATCAGTCGTCAGGGTGCCAATAGAAATTGCTTTATAATGCTTGTGAAGACTATTTCCAACATCTAGCAAAAAACTCTCTTAGTGGAGGAGAGTCATCTCTTTAATGGACTATACAATGATGTAACAGAAGTTGGTTTTGGTATGGTATCTTCTTCTGCAAACTATTTGATGACGGATGGGCTTGCTGTTGTAAAGTTTGTACAGTAAAATTATCCAGTTACTGAAGGTGAATATGAAGGTTCTCCACCACCAACCTCTAGCAGAAAATTCCTTTAGTGGGGGAAACTTCTTCCTTTCCTTTTATGGACTTTTTTTTATGCCGTTTATTTGCTTTACTTTTAATCAATGGCTAAAATTTCATATTATAAATAGGATTGACACTATAATAAATTAGAAAATCAAAATTAAAAATGTATAATAACAAAAATAAAAACACATTTAATTTAAAGTTGTCATTAAAAAGCCTAAACATCACGATTAAAAATCATTAACGTAAACTGTAAGAATTGATGTAAAAACTTGTAAAGGTGAAATAACTAAATTTTAAATCTTAACGTAAGCGTGTAAGAGTTAACGAAACAAGTCAATTAAGTAAAAATATTATAAATTTAATGAAAAGTAAATATTTAAATTTATATTCTCAGGTTGAAGTGTTTAACGATATAAAAATTTTAATTTGTAAATTAAGAATAATAAAGATAAAACTAATTATAATTCAAAATTGATGTGAAAAAGCTTTGACGTAAAACTGTAAGAATGGACGTAAAAGCTTGTAAAGGTGGAATAACTAAATTTTAAATCTTAACGTAAGCATGTGAGTGTTAACGTAAGAAGTCAATTAAGTAAAAACAATGTAAATTTAATCAAAAGTAAATATTTAAATTTATATTCTAGGGCTGAAAGTGTTTAACGATATAAAAATTTTAATTTTTAAATAAAAGATAACTAATTATAATTCAAAATTGACGTGAAAAAACCTTGACGTAAAACTGTAAGAATTGATGTAAAAGATTATAAAGGTAGAATAACTAAATTTTAAATCTTAACGTAAGCGTGGGAGAGTTAACGTAAGAAGTAAATTAAGTAAAATATTGTAAATTAAATCAAAAGTAAATATTTAAATTTATATTCTTGAGCTGAAAGTGTTTAACGATATAAAATTTTTAATTTTTAAATAAAGGATAACTAATTATAATTCAAAATTGACGTGAAAAAGTCTTAACGTAAAACTGTAAGAATTGACGTAAAAGTTTGTAAATGTGGAATAACTAAATTTTAAATCTTAACGTAACCGTGTGAGAGTTAACGTAACAAGTCAATTAAGTAAAAACAATG